CTGGACTTAGGTTTTTGAAGATTTTCCTCTTTTTCAAATGGGATTTTCTTCTAATATCAACCATCATGTGAACTATGATTTTCTATGGCAAGCAAAACAAGGAGTCCACTACTTATGCTCTAAACAATAGGGGATTAACCCTCCTTTGTTTATATATATATTAGTAGGGTCTCCAGTCAGGTCAGTGGTGAAGGCTCAACGGACTGTCTACCTAATTGTATTGTTTTCATGTCACGGTGTGGTGATCACCCTGTTCGTGGAGAGGGGATAAAACCATCAGTTGGAATTAGGTATATATATGTAACTTGTTATTTCAAAGGTAGAGTCCATTTCATGATAGATAAACCTGTATATTCACCTGTGGTTTCATGTACACATGATCACCAGGAGTGATTTATTATACCTGTTAAAAAATGTAAATTTCAAAGACAGTAAAGCATCCACCTTCAGTGGCGGATCCAGAGGCAAAGCTGGGGGGGTTTCCAAAAGTTTNCAACAGTCAAATCATAATTCGTTTTTATGACAAACTAAACCAATATTTAATTACCAAAATCCTCGCCTAAAATACATGCACATGACACAAACATCAACATTTTAACCAAAAACCTACATTTTTACCATTGTTTCATAGCATTTGTTAACACTCGCTCCGCTCGGCCATCATAAAATATAAATACTCTATGTTATAAAATATAACCTGGAATAATACCGCAAACTCAGAAAACTATTCTATGCCTTATTCGATCTGTTTGACAGTGGAAATAATGTCCGATAAATTCTAGCTTTCTACACTTGAGAGTGATTGAACAAGTTTAGTATTACATCTTCAGAAAAAAAGAATTCGCCTCGCTCTGCTCGGCAGGGAAATTATAATTGTCACAATCTCAGAAATAATGAAGTTCTATATATTGTTTGGTGCCAGAAAGTAGTAAACATGTACAACCGACATGACAATTATAATTATAACTGAGTCTGACTGTTGCTACCCGTGATATCGGGAATACAAGCGAGGCCGAAATGGATGTATTTTTGTGTAATTTTTTTCACCAATTAAAGGTCTTCCGAATAACAATTGTAGATTGATTTGTTACTAGCATTATTGTTATAGGTTTTATGGCGGATATATGCGCGTATAGGATCCATCTGAGTTTTACATTCACTTCGCCTGCAAATGTAATATGAAAAAGGCAAAGCCTCAAAAGTCAGAAAAAAAGCCACGTACACGTAGCTTTTGCTAATCTGTGACATTATATAGGCCTGCCCTTCATTTGTCCCTGTCATGAACTGATAAAGTATTTTTTTCAGAGTAGTTCTAGGCCTATCTTCAGTAGAGATACTGTATACATATGTATACATATATCAAAACATCGATATAAAAAGGGTTTGGGGGACACAAGGGCAAAATATCTGAAATTAATCTGTTTATATTGGCTCCGACATTTTAAATATCTAGTTAATTTAGATTCATCAGGAAAGAGATATGACGCAACAGATATTTTCGGGTTATTCAAACAATCGACACATTTTTGTCGGAGAAAAAAGGAGAGCTGTCTTTCGCATTTGAAATACATTTGAATTTTTGCGATGCTTTCCAATAATAAAGTGATGAATCAACCAAAAAATGTTGTCTGTAAAATAAATTAAAACACTCAAATATGTACCTAAAAAAACACCAGATGGCACGACAGAGCTTCTAGATCTAAACATAATCCGGGGGGGGGGGGGGGGGGGGGGGGCATGCCCCCGTACCCCCTAGAATGGCTTCGCGCCCCAGCTACGGGCTTGTCTATATCATAATTCCGGATGTTACTGCCCTTATATCCTGTCACATTTTCTTTTACCAATCGCACTTTTACGCTCGAAACCCCGCCTCTACAGGAGGTAAGCTAACTTGCAAAACGTGCGACCGGGAACAGTCAGCACTTTCGTGACCGAGAAAATTTCTCGTTTACTGAAAGTGCCGACGGTTCCCGACTGCATTACATTGGTTCTTCGTTTTGGCATAGAACTGATCCACTCAGAAACCAAAGGGTGTGGGTTTTCCATCGTCTCGAGGTAGGTAAATATTCATACCTTTCACCATGTTTTTTATAATCGAATGAACTGTATAGATCAAATGACTGATGATATGTATCCTAAGATATATTAATTAAAGACAACTACTTTATTTGGACCCGAACTAAGTCAGAAACTATTTTGGTATCATTCTTGCTCTTTAAAATTTTCTTTCACTCATGGTATTTATGCAATTTAGATGTTCTTTTTCGATATTGAAAAATAACGTTTAGTTTTATAACTTTAATACATGAAGCCAGCACATGATTGTCTTCTCTTTGGTAATTTAAAGATTTGTGTAAAGGTTACGACATCTAGAGGTCTAGGAAATACAAAGGAGATTTTTTTTTTATTGCAGGTTTTGATTAAAAGTTACCTTGCCACAATCTATCGGAAAAACTCCAGTTTAAATTGCAGTCATAAAATTCCATAAATAGGCATATTAGGTTGAAAATATTTAAGATCCCAATGACCTTTATTTATTTCAACTATAAACGTGCAAAACCTTTTCTTCTCGACTGCTTCTTATCTCACCAGAAGCAGGGTTGAGGTCATATTTACGTCATTATTTGCATACGCAAATTCAAGAAATGTATTCAAAGAAAGCGACTATATCTTCGACTGCGTCAGAGGTAATATTTGCACAATAAACGTGCTGTGTGTTACTCTAAGCCGATTCAGTTCTCCCAGTCAAGGTGCATACACCATATCCCGCCTTAAACACATCCCAATTGGCCTAAGGCTTCATCGATGAACACGTTCACTTTAATTTACTGACCGGCTTTTTGATACAGTTTTTACCTTTTTCTCGCAGATTCTGTCTGCCTGCTAATTGGTCGACCACGTTTTAGCATGGACCATCGTACGTGTCTGCACATTTCTTTTTATTTGATATGTTTATCACGTTTCATATCCTGAATGTAGTATTAACGGAAATTCAATAACTTTTCCTATGTAAGAATAATAAGAAATACCATATTCATTAATCTTGTTTATCTGAAAAAAGAGCGAAAGCTAGCGGTACGTTACCTTTTAAGATCAAACTATTGCATACACCTGCTATACTATCGTTTGGCTGCACAGAATTTAATTTTGGTGAAAAGGTCATCACTGATGTTATTTAAGCTTTACGCTAATGGTATTCGTTTCAAGAAAACCTCCTCAGCTAGCCATTTGAGGCATATAGGGTTAAGTAATATAATACAGGGAAAATGTTTTGATTTCAAAATCAGGTCAATTTGACATGAAAAGAGCAAAAAAGTCAATTTCAGCTACAAAATTGAAATCAATTTGACCTGAAGTTTACCTGTATTTGACAAGATTAATTCTTGATGTGAATTTTAGATTAATTTCATGTCAATTTCATTTATTTTTTATTTTTTTATCTGAAACTGGCTTTTCTTGCTCTTTTTAGGTAAAATTTACCTGAAAAACATGACAAGAAATTGTAATGAATATTTTACCTGAATTCACATGATCAATTTGACCGGATTTTGACATGAAATAGGCCAGAAACAATTCGTGCGAAATGGACCTGCATCGACCTGATAAGAATATTTCAGGTCAAGTTGACAATTCTGCCTGTGTAGATACCGGGTAATAGATACCTATGGTAATTGAACGAAGTAGTTAAACTGTCATTGTAAACGAAATTGAGAACGTCAAGTGTAAGTTACGTCACAACAATTATCTTGTGGCGTGGCTGTGTGCTTCCTGGTTCAGTGTAAAAAGACATTCTAAAACAGAGACTCTCTGTTTGAAAATATTGGAAATGTTCCAAGTTTTCTGAGCATGCCTGTAAACTCTCGCTATGAAAGACATGCATCATTCTTTGTATGTTTTGAACGCTCTCCCAAGCTATATTTCGTTCAGCCGAACACCCGCTGTGAACAAATCTAGACCTTCAGTTCATGTACTATTCAGGTGAAATTTCCATTTCAATTTGAGGTCAATTTAGTGTCAATTCTTTCAGGTAATTTTTCAGTATGTCTACATAGCATTTTCATATTGACACTGTATAAGATGTCAAGATGGCCCAATTTATTCTAGGTAACTGAAATACAAGTTTTGCAATCTAGCGAGTTTGATACTATAATTAGATTGTATAGACGTAATGCTGAGTGATATGAATTCATAAATGCAACTAAAGATCCACTAAGCCCATATAAGCTAATTCATATACACTGGGTGCTTGGTTTAACTTCCACCGATACTTTTGTAAAATGCATACCTAATAGTACATAATTTTCATGACTTTGCATTAGGCTAGTGTGTTATGATGAGACATTCTTACTATTTTTATGTTACGGTATTTCTGTATTCCTTATATTGTATAACTATGAAAAAAATACGTAAGCAGACAATCTCTGAATAGAGAGAAATAGATGATACACCCCCTACCTATCATTTATTCATATCTTTGTGCACCGATGGTATCATTGTACAATTTTTATATATGTTTATCACATGTGTCGTTTTATACCTAAACATTTTTAACATCAGTACCAATTTTTTAGTATTTTTGATTTTATCGTATTAATAGCCTCTTTATATTGATACTTCTATATCACTGGTGATTTATGCATCTCATTCGCATACCATTACAATTGTATACTTTAAAGTATATAAATGATATCATAACAAAGTTAGTTTATCGAAACTTAACGTCTTTAGTAGGAGTTACAACTAACAGGGTTTACCGTTTGGTCCAGTATTTTTTTCTTGTCAACCATGCCTCTTATTCACGCATTTTTCATTTTCCACGTATCGACGTTGACATAATGCGTCTCCGCGATTTACATGTCAATACTCAGAACTGGAGTTCAGGCGACTTTTAGTGAGATGTCGATTTCTAAAGTTGCCTGTAAAAATGTATATTTCATCGGTGATTAGGCGACACAGGTTGGCGATACCGGATTTTAATGTTATTTTTTCTACCTCGCCAGGCCTTGTGACACTCGAACCACAGCTGTCAAGTCTTAGCCTGTAGATAATATCCCCACAAAGGAGACGTCTGTCAGCGATCTGAATACATGGTTACGGAAACTCGGGCAATAAGGTAACGTGTCGCTTTAAGGTATTACAATTGTTTTAATTACTTTTGTTTTGCTTGTGGGTGATAATGGTATCTGATAATGCGATTGTTGATATAAACAATTGTTATCACTGTAAGTACACATCGGCCGTCGTGGAGCAAGTATAGACAAATATTTGACAAATGCTCAGTAAAATTCTAAGCCAAATATTTGGTTATCCTATGTACCAGTTTTTCCGGATGAATAATTCACTGTGTGGGACACTTGAATATTGTATCTAAAGAAATACAACAAGAAAGTTCATTGAAAGAGTGTGTACTTGGTTCACCCTGTAAAACTACCCAAACACGTTGATTCGTTGTCCCGCTATCAAAGCTATCTTTTAGGGGGTTACAGTGTGCCTTTTTGTTTCACGAAATTGCACTAGGTATCGAGTAACGTTTGTTTGTGCCAATGGTGGCTGAATTATCTACTTAGAACACAGGGGGTGGTTTATCTCATTAAAATAAAGCTGGCGCTGGATTATTAACTTCAAGTGAATTGGAAGAAAGTGAATAAATATAAAAGCACAACAGTTGCTGGGATATCTACTTTGAGAGAGTTTTCAATGATGTAATCTTCTGAGAACGAGGGTGGCTGGATTATCTACTGGCATAGAAAGGGGATAGGATATCTACTAAGAACGAAGGTGGTTGGATTATCTACCGATAATAAAGGTGGTTTGATTATCTACTGATAATAAAGAAGCCCGGATGATCTACTGATAACGAAGGTGGCTGGAGTATATAATGAGGATAAAGGTGGCTGGATTATTTACTGAGAATAAAAATGTCTGGATTATCTACTGAAAACGAAGGTGACTAGACTATCTACTGAGAACGAAGGTGGCTGGATTATCTACTGAGAATAAAAATGGCTGTATTATCTACTGACAACGAAGGTGACTGGATTTTCTAATGAGAATACAGATGGCTGAATTGTCTACTGAGAGTAAAGGTGGCTGGAGTATCTAATGAGAATAAAGCTGGTTGGATTATCTACTGAGAGTAAAGATGCCCGGATTATCTACCGACAACGAAGGTGACTGGATTTTTCAACTGAGAGAATGAAGGTGGCTGGGTTACCTTTTTTCAGGTTATTAATATTTGTGATTTTGGTAATTTAAGGTTAGTATTATGTAACAAATTGAAGTGAAACGTACCGCGGCGACAACCAAACCAATTTAATTACTTCACTGTATTATTGTATGGAAAATACATATAATCTGATGTTCACTTAATAATTTCGAGATTGTATGGTTTATAATATTACTTGAGGATAATATCCCAGTAAATAGTATTACATCAGAAATAACCCTGTATACAGTATTACATTAACAATAACCGTTTATACAGTATTACATCAGCAATAACCCTTTATATAGTAGTACATCAGCAATAACCCTGTATACAGTATTATATTAACAATAACCCTTTATATAGTAGTACATCAGCAATAACCCTGTATACAGTATTATATTAACAATAACTCTTTATACGGTATTACATTAACAATAACCCTTCATACAGTATTACATTAACAATAACCCTTTCAACAATATTACATTAACAATAACCCTTCATACAGTATTACATTAACAATAACCCTTTAAACAATATTATATTAACAATAACGCTTTATACAGTATTACATCTGACAAAACCCTGCATACAATGTAACATATCTATAATAACCCTGTATAAAGTTAAGCGTCTAAAAGAAGTATTATATAGTACTGTTTAATATATAACAATATTGTATACAATTATGTGTCAACGGGGAATGGTCGGTTTTTCATCAATAAAGCATGTTACATGTATTTAGACCAGGACACGTGTACTGTTTTTTGCTGTCGGAATAAGTAAATGTTATATTTAACTTCATACATTTATTAAACACAATATATATGACCTACATTTTCACTTCCCGAAAAACTTTCCTTAGAGGACAGTTTTTTTTACAATTTTCATTCTTATAAAATTGTCAAAAAAATAAAGCTGTATTGTAACGAAATACTTTTATTACATGAACTTAACGTCTTTCTGGCATATCTATTCAAACTAAATAAAACAAAAACAAAAACAAACAAACATTTTTATTTTTTTTTATTTTTTTTGACATATATGGAAGTAATGTAAAAGACGTGTCCACTCAGTCATATATATATATACATATATTTGCGTGACATAACTTTGCCTCTAGTAACATTGTCATGTGTCTGAGTGTTATTAATGATGTCTTGAAACCTTCAAATTTTTCTCATTATTTGACCCGGTATGACATTATTGTAGGTCGGCTGGTCTGTCACAATTTGTATGACTTACAGCAAGTTACTCGAGGGTAAAGTACGATATCAAGGTATTTAATGGGTTTTTTTCAAGTAGTCTGAACAGGAAAAACACGCTTCCCTTTGATCTACGTTGATACACCAACTTAATCTTTTTTTAAACATATTTTTTTAATAATTTCGGAAATGATAGTTTTGAGTGATGCGTTTTTGTTTATTAGATCAATCACAGTGTACACAAGGTGTATATATATTTTATTGCATTTAATGTTCAATATGTACATAAAAAATATATTCATAAAATACATGTTTGTATATGGCGCAGCAACAGGCAATTTACCGCTCATGAAATCCAAGTAGAACTAATGTAAGTCACGTGATTTGAAATACGATTACAGCTTAACACAGCAACATCTGTAGGTAACGACTCCGTAATGATACTAACAATATTGATATATACTTGTATTCGAATCTCACGTGACCGAACACTGGCATATGTGATGATGCAAACACAGTAAATCCGCTTATCATTAACATAAAAATATATTGATATTTCTTTTCCACAGAAATGTATGGATAAAGTCAATTTCATCAAACAAAGGAAGAAATACAATGAATTCCACACAAATTGGTGTTGTGCTGGTGAACGTTTATAAATCGTATATTTGAAATCTGAATTAGGATTTATATCCCCTGATAGACGTGGGTAGTATGGCGATTGACAGCTAGACTAAGGAATATATAGCTATTCGCAAGAAATATCTAGATTTAGAAATACATAATTTGACTCCGAGATACACACTTAGACTCAGAAAAACTTAGTTAGTCTTAGAAACTATAACTAAGGTAAGAAATATATAAGACTTGTGTGTATATATTTAGGCCCAAGAATGTATCACTAGTCTGAAGAATACATACATGTAACTAAGCTCATGAATATATAACTAGACTAAGGACTCTATAACTGGGATTAGGAATAGATAACTAGACTTCGGATTCTATAACTGGGATTAGGAATATATAACTAGACTTAGGATTCTATAACTGGGATTAGGAATAGATAACTAGACTTCGGATTCTATAACTGGGATTAGGAATAGATAACTATACTTCGGATTCTATAACTGGGATTAGGAATACATAACTAGACTTAGGATTCTATAACTGGGATTAGGAATACATAACTAGACTTAAGAATATACATCTAGTCCAATAATATATCACTAGGCTGAAAAATACATGGCTAGGTTCAAAAATAGATAACTAGTCTTTCAAATATTTAGCTATGGTAAGGAATATTAAACTAGACTTAGGATTATATATCTAGATCTAAGAATGTATCACTAGGCTAAATAATACATAACTAGGTTCAGGAATATATAATTAGGCTAATAAATTGATAGATGCGCAGAAATATATATAACTACCTAAAGAAATAAATAACCATGCATCTGAATTTTACCTTTTTGTGTTTTCAAAAAAGCAGAAGAACCTTCAAATGTTATAGACTTATGTGAAAATTCTATTACATTTAACTGTTAGAAAGGAACCACCTCTTATCACTTCAAATTTGATGAATCGTAGACAGTTTTTATCGGCAAACACTTTTTAATGATACAGTGGTTATTTGTGAACTTTTTTTCAAAACATATTTTTCTATCATTATTATTCATTGAAAGATCCTAACGACTTGATAGTGGGGAAAATGCTTTATATTTTTAAATAGTAAAATATCCCTGAAAATCAAATCACGGAAGTGTATTTCATGAGAGCAATGTTTATACTCTTCGTATCGCATGTACTATTGTGATGTAGCCACTGGCAATGCTGTGTATTAGTCACATTCCTATTTTATGTTGTTACCATATGTCATCACTATCTGTGCGATGTTCAAGTTTTACATTACCAGGTAGAATGCAGCGTATACGTAGATACTGTACGTTTTCCATTTAAATATGTTTGAACTATTTGTACTTAAACTGTTTGCTGTACCAGTTAGAAATGTATAACTTCTTCTCAGAATATGTAAACTAGACACACATTACTGGAAACACTTCGGGCAAACGGAGATTTACTGATTGAAAGTAGGTTTCAAAATGAGACCTGTATGCAAGGATTCGTCCTCAGTCTTAACTTAATACGCTATTCTAAGATGGTATTTATAGTAACTCATTCACCCCTAAAGTTTCATAATGAACTATTCCAACCTTTGAATTAAAAGAGTTCAAATGTGTCTTCAGGGGTGAATGAGTTAATTCCGTTGCTTTTCAACTATTATAAAACCGGTCTGGTATCCATACAATGAGCTGATGTCTGCTGGTATATTTATCTAGAAGAACTTAAAACTTACCAACGGGGATGGTGGTGTAATTTCAAAACGTTTTAAGAACAATTTGTCAAGTGACTGTGTACTAGGTTTCTAACACCCTGGAAACCAGGTGGCTGTTTATCTTAACTAACTTGAAAAAACAACTCGGTAAATGATGTAAACACCAGTGTTGGTTAGTTTGCCGTACGCAGATCATGACATCGCGGCACAGCTAGCAACCAGTAATCTGTATTCAGAATTATACTACCAAGAGTCAAAAGACCACCTACCTGCTTTGATTTGGTTTTATTTTGTTTAACGTCCTGTTAATAGCTCAGGTCATTCAAGGACGTGCCTCCATATGTGCAGTGTATGCGTGCTTGCGTGTATGCATGCAAGAGACAGGGTATGTTGGTGTGCCTACCTCCCTGTGATAGCGCGGATCTGATGCTGACTTTATAGTGCTATCTCATTGAAATACCGTGCTGAAGGCACCCAGCACAGCATTCCGCCTGGTCACATTATACTGACAACGGTTGAACCAATTCGTTAAAGGAAAAACCTGCTGTATCTCATTGCATGCTATCATAAAGGACGACTCATGTTGGCCCCCAACAGAATCAGGGCTGTCTGTAGTGTCGTCTGCTAAGGGGACATTGAAGAAACTGAAATTGATTTCTTGCCCTAATTGCAACATCATGGATCAATATACTTTACTTTTCTCGCTTTCCTATTTTCTTCTTCTCTGTGGTGTTTCCCTAGACACCAGTATTCTTATGACTTAAGCTGTTATGAGAATGTTAAACCTTAAACAAACAAATTTGATCTTAAACATGATATCTTCTTATGAACACTGAACACATAATATATCAATACATTAATATACATTTCACACTTCACTGTAATATATAGGTAACCAAAGGTCACGTGTCAAATTGCTCCTTATCATCTGTCAATATGACTTTATTTACACATTATGTCGATGTAAAATTAAATGTGAAAGCATGTTGAAGGTCACAAGTCAAACTCGTCAAATGATATTGTTTCTTAAAATAATGTTTGCAGAAAAGCAAGCCATTGACCCGGCAATGACATGTTTAACTGATGACTGCGACTACCTAAGTTGTAAACATACTGCTACGGTATGTATATTTCTAAAACTGTTTATTATCCTAGTAATGGGGTACCACTGCATCAGTAAGGATTGCAGAGAAGAGTTCCTCTTGGACTTTATTTTACTTGGAGTAGTCTCCCTTCCATATACAGATTGTTTCTGTCATCTTAGAGTGACTTCCCCTTTCTAGTTTATCGTAGAGTTTTTCAGTCCATAGGTTGGACAATTATTTTGATGCTTTTAAGCCATTATTCTTAGAGGGCAACATTGACTGTGTAAACTTTGAATGTCTGGAGTTCGCCCCCTGCTGTTTTTTTTTATTTTTATTTCTGTTTTAAGCATTCAAATTTTGAGCAACTATGATTCTGTAAAATACGTGGAAACATGTGATTTTTAAGGAATACTGATATTTCACAAATTATTCGTAATTGTGGCAATGGTTATACAGTGTAACCTAGTTTAACCCGCTGGTAACCTTTACATCTCTGTAGGTAGGGCGTAAAAATGGTACCTGCTGCCCCCATTGTATGATCGTAAGAGGCGACTGAATTTGGGATCTTATCTTTTCTCTTCTTTCTAAACAACTTTTTTGTTTCCCTTGACAATGCCTCACTATTGACCTTCAGGTGAGCGTTCACCCCTGTGAGGAAGGCTTTGGGTTCTGTCCCCTGGCCGAGACATACCAGAGTCTGTAAAAATGGTAGTTTCTACTCCTGCTTAACGCTCAGCAATTTAGGAGTGGGACGACTGGTTCGCCCGTTGTCAGTATAATATGACCGGGTGGGGTGTCCTGCTGGGTGTCTTCAACAGTACGTTTCAGTGAGATAGCACTATAAAGTCGGCAACAATATTTCACTATCAGAAGGAGACAAACACGAACATATCGCAGCCTCCGAAAACACACACACACGCATACACTACACGCATGCATCTTGCACACAGGAGAGGCCGTCCTTAAATGTCGATAACTGTTGAAAGGACGTTAAAAAATGCTAAACCAAACCAAACCTTTACATCTAGGCCTGCCCAATAAGTTTGCCATGTGTTTTTTTCCATTTCATCACATTACCCATTATATTTATTTGTTAACATAATAAGATTCTGTATAAACTGTGGTCTTTCATCAACACATCTATGTCACTCCCGGGTAAGTAAAGAGACCATTTCAAATAACGGCAAAACGTTGACTGTCTGTTGTTGGTCGAGACGCGTTGTGACTTCTCCTAAATAAGGTTTCGTCTTATTATGGTTTTCAGTTTTACTTAAATGCATTTTCTATTACATTCTTTTTCCCTTCCTTAATTTTTAAGACAAAGACATTCGTTTGATCTTTGTATTTACAAAAAAAGTTTGGGCGAAGTACCGGTTGAAATTTGAATATAACCAAATGCATCAATTTACTTGTTATGAGAAATACATGTTTTTTTTCAAAACATGATACAAAGATTGGAGAACAAATTCAAAGCAACTTAATAAACCCGTCTCCTTACTTTACTACAGTCGTGATAGGAGGTGTTTGGCTGATGTGTCTTACTATAAACGAGGAGGAAAAAGAACGAAGAGGGAGAAAACTCAATGTGTAGACAAATAAAAAAAGCCACTGAATGCAGACCTCATTACTGCAAAGGACACCAATTTACTAATGGAGATGTTTAATTCAACACTATGGTGTTTCATTTCTAACGAAAATCCTCAATCACCTTTAAGACATTCTGTTTAAACCTAGCAACATGAACTAGACAGGTACCATCGTACACAACCTTTAGGCATGCTACGGATTACAAAATAGAACGTTAGTTTAATTCAGACAGGTTTCGTGAGACTGATAAAATGTTGGACATAGTCTAAAAAATACTATCATTTCATTGAACTGTCTTATTCGGTTTTACGTGTTTCAGAATGTTGACAATATACTTGTTATCAGGATCAGGAGCACAGCTTCCAACAAATTGAATTTTTACTTGTTGGAAATTAGTCAAAATATAAATACAGGATAAGTATGAGAACAGTATTTGGGCGCATTGGATAAGTAGTCTGAAGAACAAATAAAGTCTGGGAAATGTGACTTATAGATATGTAGCATCTTGTATCAAAACTTTGATATGTATCTGATTGGAAAGGAATGGAAGAGCAGGGCTTGAATATGATATAGATATAATGTAGAACTAACAAAAAGGTAAGGTAGATATTAACATAAACTAATGGAAAAGAACAGTTATAACTGTGCTATTGAACAAAAAAAAGAAAACTGTGTTTAACACTGCACATAATAGAAAAGTATGTTAACACAGGTAACCTTGCCCGTACAACACAGTTGGTAACACCTATCTACAATTAAGGTATAGGTTTATTGCCCAAAGGCGGTGGACTGTTTCCTTTACCGGTGGTACTCCATTCCACCTGCTAACGGTGATGTATAACACGTTGGGTATTACGAGTGTATGCTGTAACATTTAAGTTGTATGGCACTATCAATGAACCTATGGAAGTATACCATCTTAACAACAACCCTCAGTTTATACACACGCACACCGTCACTCATATGGAGGTAATGAAGGGGGCACTGTTAACATTCACTTGATTTCGGATTCTTGCCTATATTCTTGAATATATACCTGTCATCCATTGCATTATATATATTGTGCTATATAATATGACGATTCAATTAAGTGTTGATACCGTTTAATTAAATGATGTTGATGTTTAATTCAGTGATAATACCATTAAACTGTATGACGTTGATGTTTTTTATTCAGTGTTTATACCATTAAACTGTATGACGTTAATACCATTAAACTGTATGACGTTGATGTTTAATTCAGTGTTTATACCATTAAACTGTAGGACGGTGATGTTTAATTAAGTGTTTATACCATTAAACTGTATGACGTCGATGTTTAATTCAGTGTTTATACCATTAAACTGTACGCCGTTGATGTTTAATTAAGTGTTGATACCATTAAACTGTATGACGTTGATGTTTAATTCAGTGTTTATACCATTACACTGTATTACGTTGATGTTTAATTCAGTGTTTATACCATTAAACTGTATGACGTCGATGTTTAATTCAGTGTTTATACCATTAAACTGTACGCCGTTGATGTTTAATTAAGTGTTGATACCATTAAACTGTATGACGTTGACATTTTTTATTCAGTGTTTATACCATTAAACTGTATGACGGTGATGTTTAATTCAGTGTTTATACCATTAAACTGTATTACGTTGATGTTTAATTCAGTGTTTATACCATTAAACTATATTAAGGTGATGTTTAATTCAGTGGTGATACCATTAAACTGTATGACGTTGACGTTTTTTATTCAGTGTTTATACCATTAAACTGTATGACGGTGATGTTAAATTCAGTGTTGATACCATTAAACTGTACGACGTTGCTGTTTGATTCAGTGTTGATACCATTAAACTGTACGACGTTGCTGTTTAATTCAGTGTTTATACCATTAAACTGTACGACGTTGCTGTTTAATTCAGTGTTTATACCATTAAACTGTACGACGTTGCTGTTTAATTCAGTATTGATACCATTAAACTGTACGACGTTGCTGTTTAATTCAGTGTTTATACCAATAAACTGTACGACGGTGATGTTTAATTCAGTGGTGATACCATTAAACTATATAACGTTGGTGTTTAATATATAGATATTGATACCTTTAAATGCCAAGAAGTTGATATATATTTACAGGTGTGATAATATGTAGATACCGTGTGGTGATTTAAGGTAGGGACAGTATATACGTCCCTGTTTAAGGTTAATGTTGATTTACAGATCACACATATGTTATTGCCATCATATTTAACAGTAGCTGTTAACATCGTTTGGATCTATAACACAAATGTTTATTTATTTACAGATGCTAATATCGTTTGATGCCATGAATTAGATCCTCAACCAACGAAACCAAAATGAAGGTACGTGCTTCTCTTCACCAATCTTTAATTCAAAGAGATTCAGTTGCGAAAACAAACCAATTTTTTTTTACTGCCAACCAAATTTCGCCGACAGGGAAGTCAAATATTATTTATTCTTCTTATTTAGACCTTAATCCATTGGTGAGTTCGTTGCATTGGTGGAGTGGCATTATGTAGATAACATCCTGCCAAATCTGTATTGTCCTTTTTTAGGTACATGCATGTGTGTTTGAGATTGTAATTTTTTATAAGAAGAAACAACGCCATTAATAAACGGTGAGCAGTACCAGTGACGTCATTAGATGTAGCAAACCAGTTAATGAACTTCACATTAAACGTCAATTTCTTTTGGACAAAATAGGAATATTTGAGTTAAACAGACAGGTGATTGTAATTCCAAGTCATGTGTCTCCCGTCCATTGCTATATGTTACGGTAAAGTTTCCTGAAATCATTAAAGTATGATTTGTACCAGTTTTATTTTGTTTTGTTTTGTTTCCCAGATGACAATGTCGACCAATACGAGCGGGGAGACGGTTATACTGAAGATCTGGGACACTGGCACAGTTCCAGGTACATATTTAATACCACTACATACATCACATAACTTCATAACACGTCATACATATAATAGTTCAGACATCACATAACGTCATAACTCCGTCATACATATAATAGTACATACATCACATAACGTCATAACTCCATCATACATATAATAGTACATACATCACATAACGTCATAACTCCGTCATACATATTGAATACGTCAATGACTTCAGAATATTACATTATACATATATTAGTACATACGTTACAAAACGTTTATAATGACGTCCTCCATATATCATTATAAACGTCACATAACGTTTATGATGACGTCATAGATATATTATTACATACGTCACATTACGTTTATAATGACGTCATACACATTCTAATACACACGTCATATAAAGTCCTACACATACCACATATTTTAAATACAATATACATGTATGGCTCGTTGAGTAAAACGAGCTGTTAGAAGAGCTAGAATTAATCTGAAACATCTTTTAGGTTAAAACAAATGGTTAGATGTGAACTAGTAGGTATGCGTCTTCACGTGTGTCGACTTCTCTTATTTGTATAGGCTTGGAAAGCGGCTAAATATACAATTAGATGGAAGAAGAAATTTGGACAATTTTGATGTAAAAGTAATCACACAAAAAATCAAACTAGAATACAACAAATTTTGTATTTATTGTCACATCCTAGATTATTACGGACAAAGCGTAGCTGAATCGAGTCATTTCGGTGCTTATATAACATACGCTTACAGCGTAGCGAATCGACATCGATTTGGGTGGACAACTCGTACATAATTTACACATTTGTGTACATACGCTTCACTGGTCATTTGTCTGATGAAGGTGACAGAGTACATACCGTACTAGTCATCAAAACATCACATAGAAACACTTATTGGTTGTGCTACATGGATCTTTTTTACAATTATTACGGACAAAATCATATAACCACATCCCATTTTTTCAGTTTTGTTTGAGCAAAATACACGATAGGTAATACATCCTCTGTATACTGAATAGAGGATCTAACACGGGCGTTCATGTAACATTGAATTTAGTAAACGAGTTTATTAACTTATAACCACTTTGGGAACGAGGTTCATAGGCAAATTGACTTGGCATTCATTGGGGGACGAAATTTTATAAATTAACCAAGATGGAGGTGTATCGTGATAGAAAAGACAGTGGATGGGAACATAAGGCAGCTATTCATTCGCCAAAATGGTTAATTTCGTTGAAAAGTGTTTTATGATATAATAGAAATACCATCAATGATGACCCCATTCGCACCGTCTTGGTGAAAGGCGACATCGTTCTTCTCTGCGACACCCGACCTCCCTGTATAGGACATGTCCCGACTTCAATTCCATAGGTTAATGGTATACAAACCTGTTATGTAATGTTTAAGCTAATACATACTGATGTATAGAATCCCTTGGAATGAAATTTCACGCTCAGGAGCAGAATTTTGGGTCATAACCTCGTTTCCCCCCAGACACAATAGACTCTTTCCCTCTCTCGTGATTTCCGTGTCTTTGTTTAATTAATTAAAATAGAACTAAATTATACCTCAACATTTTTAACGGATGGTCAGGCGCGTAACTTCCATTTAGGCAAATAGGCAGGTACATGCACATCAAATATCCTAAAATGAGTTTTGAAATTTTAATAGCTTTACAATTCCTTCCCGTAAAAGGCAAATTGGGCGATATTGTAATTCTTAGTGATAAACAAAGATGACAAGTCTTCTTTTTAAAAAAAATGACAATTCTAAAGTGATGTTCTGTCATATCAATAACAATCCATCTTCATTTTGTTCGGAGAAAGGGAAGATGATAAATTGTGCATACACACCGTTAACAGTCCAAGTAAGAGTCTGAATAAGTTGCTAAATAACACCTTTTCCCAATCTGTGGATTCTCATCGTGTTACAACTATAGCTCCACGTATGCATGTTAAAACCGGTTGCTAGCGTGGTTCGTCTCGAACGCTTCTATTATGTAAGAACTTTTATCAGACTGTTGAGAGGCCACAGATCTATAGATACACTTTTGCTCCCAATGTTGTGCAAAAACTAATCAGAGATAATTTATATTTCAGAAAATTTGTTTTCGTTGATCTCTTATCATGAAATTTCGTGACAAGTATACACATATATCTGGTTTTTATTCCCATTTTGGGTCTTACCCGTCGTCTTGTTTGAGGCTAAACCAAGTAAACATTTTGAGAACAAAGTTAAAATACATTAACCTTATCTTTTCCGATATTTATAAGAGATAAAATTGAGTGTAAAATGTATAGGTGATTAAAACTATATCATTGAATACAAGAGTATACAATAACGTGCGTACAAATACGTGTGTATCCATTGTGAAAAAAAATATGTTCGTGTAAAAGCTAAAGTATAATAAACCATTGGTCTTTGTTTTATTTCTTTTCTTTAATTTCGCAAAATATTTGCATATACCTAGGTCTGGTGTGTGCTATGGTGGTATCTGTTGTTCTGTCCGTTCTGCTTGAATACATCCACGTTCTAATGAAGTACACGTTGGAGCAAAACAGCGCCGAAAAATCCGTCAAATACAGGTACGTCATGTTTACACCTGGTCAAATACAGGTACGTCATGTTTACACCTGGTCAAATACAGGTACGTCATGTTTACACCTGGTCAAATATAGGTACGCCATGTTTACACCTGGTCAAATACAGGTACGTCATGTTAACACCTGGTCAAATACAGGTACGTCATGTTAACACCTGGTCAAATACAGGTACGTCATGTTAACACCTTGTCAAATACAGGTACGTCATGTTAACACCTGGTCAAATACATGTACGTCATGTTTACACCTGGTCAAATACAGGTACATCATATTTACACCTGGTCAAATACAGTTACGTCATGTTTACACCTGGTCAAATACAGGTACATCATGTTTACACCTGGTCAAATACAGGTACGTCATGTATACACCTGGTCAAATACAGGTACGTCATGTTTACACCTGGTCAAATACAGGTACGCCATGTTTACACCTAGTCAAATACAGGTACGTCATGTTTACACCTGGTCAAATACAAGTACGTCATGTTTACACCTGGTCAAATACAGGTACATCATATTTACACCTGGTCAAATACAGGTACGTCATGTTTACACCTGGTCAAATACAGGTACGTCATGTTTACACCTAGTCAAATACAGGTACGTCATTTTTACATCTAGTCAAATACAGGTAAATCATGTTTACACCTAGTCAAATACAAGTACATCATGTTTACACCTAGTCAAATACATGTACGCCATGTTTACACCTGGTCAAATATAGATACGTCATGTTTACACCTGGTCAAATACAGGTACGTCATGTTTACACCTACTCAAATACAGGTACGTCATGTTTCCATCTAGTCAAATACAGGCACATCATGTTTCCACCTAATCAAATACAGGTACATCATGTTTGCACTTAGTCAAATACAGGTACATCATGTTTACACCTAGTCAAATACAGGTACATCATGTTTACACCTAGTCAAATACAGCTACATCATGTTTACACTTATTCAAATACAGGTACGTCATGTTTTCACCTACGTCAATCCTATGATCGAACAATATTAATATGTTTGTGTCTCTCTATGATTACAATTATTTCCAACAGGAAGGAAAGGTCAATGTTCTGCAGTGATTCCATGAAGACCCAGGTAATAGTTACAATATACCATGTGCTGCGTGTTGCCGTTGGATACTGTTTGATGTTATTTGTGATGACGTTTAACGTCTGGATATACACGTCAGTAGTTTTGGGGTCCGGAACTGGATTTTTCCTCTCGCACGCATTCCCGTGCGTGAGTGTTGCACCTGCACAGGACCGTGATTCAGATTCGCCTATCCCGCTCTCAGAGCGACACGACGAGGATTTGGACGTTCACCGTCAGGAGGAGGAGACGCTGTATGTGAGGACAACACGGTGATTTGATACACGTGCTTTAATTACAGGTGTGATAAAACACACGAGATTCTTGAGGAACACGTTTTCTTGACCAATATATTGTTTACGTATGACGCGTGTTTCTTTCGACGCTATGAATTGCTCATGATGAAGTGCGTCGACTTTTAAGACGCTGAGGGCGACACCTGATAGTTCGTTGATTGTAGACAGTCTACCTATTCCCTGAACATGAGGTTGTAATGGAATTATCTCAAACCGAGGGGTAATGCTCTTGATTTGCTAAACCAAAGCTTGCTTTCAAGTCTCAACGTAGAGGACTGTGCTTGAAGTTTATAACATATCTCAGAAGTTTCTAACCGCTGTTACGTCATACTTACGTCATCAAAGTGCTTCTTTCTACATACTATCAGGACGTGTCACATATCACTTTATATGAAGTAGCATACTGTTATCTATTTATTCATTTTTAATCTGATATCAATATGTATTGTTCATTTATTACATTGATGTATGTTAATAACATGCTTTAAGAACTGCTACACAGGGAATATAGACTTGCTTAGAGTATTTATTTAATATATGCGATAGATTATTGCTTGGTCGATGGATTTATTAGTTTTGACATAAGGAATACATATTAGCTGTGTTTGGTCGTTATTAAGGATCCCTGTCCCTTTTTTAGTTATTAAGAATACCTGCCCCATTGGACTGCACGTCCTTAAATGAACTTAGCTGTTGATAGGACGTTAAACTCATTGGACTGTGTTTGTTTATATATATATACAATAACCTCCCTTAATTTCGTTTTGGATTAAATATAGCACAGTTGCGCCACGTCACTTCCGTTGGCTCACAATAGTTAGCTCAGTCGGTTAGAGATATTTTAACAATCTGAAATCCAGGGTTCGAGTCCCGGTCTAGCCCCTTTGAATTTGTTACACTTAAAACAGTGTTGTTTGTTCTTATCATTTGAACCATTTTTCATAAGAGTCCTGCAAGGTTTGGTTTTCTTTTCGGCAATGATTTATTAAAGTTATAATCATGCTGGAAAAACAGTTTCCAGTTTTTGACAGTGGTAGTGGGATCCTTACGTGTTACAAATTAACACACTTAAGCTTACTGGAAGTATTATAAGAAGTAATATATCAGTATGAACATAGTGCAACGAGAAAGTGGAAACGATATACTGTAACACTGTCTCGCGTTCATATTTTGAACGGTGGTCCATGTTCACATTTGGACCCTTATGGTGATCATTTGCAGGATATACAGGGTATCTGCTTTTGTCGTATAAGCTGATGCTCTACAACACTTGCAGATCAATGGGGAGGGCCGGCGCTGTATTAATCCTAGTTGAGTTGAGTCATAGACGCTGTGCTCGTTCTGTTCTCTTTAGTCATAACATGCATGTATTAATTTCGACATACATATGTTAGCTTCAACATGGATGCTTCTCTGAAGTGGAATATACTGTTGTTATGCATTTGTTTTTTAATTATGCAAATAAAACCAAACTAAGATGGTTAAGAATTGGTTATTTGTTATCTTTTTTTTTGTTTTGTTTTTAAGACGACACAATATACGAACACCATGAATTACATGCGTCACCATGACGTGACCGAAGCATTAGCCGTCAGTTGTTCAAAAGCTTAACCACTATTTAACGACATTTTTCAACCTCTAATAATTCCGTCAATGTACTTACTGTACATTAAAAGTAACTTGTAGCTTTACATGAAACTTACTTTGGAAGTATATTGACTGCCTGGAAAATTTAAATCAAAGCAAATGTTATTTATATTTTTAAGAAACAAGAAGACGAAACTTACCACTAATCACTGATCAAACTATCTCATTAAGAGCAACCGGGCCAAGATGAATAACAACAAGACCATGTAGAACAGATACAGCACGTGATTAAGAAGATTAAGAATAGCACTTCCTATTGCAATGAGATTAAATTCTCGCCAGTTATGACTATTATTATTTTATAATACCGCGATTGTTCTAGAAGAAACTATTCGGGACACTATCAAACGAAAGCTGATGTCGATCCTAAAGGAACTGAAGTACTTTTTGTTCAACAGACGAACATGATATATTGGTGTAAATCTTCCGACAACATTACAAATTGTCCTTTTCCTAACTTTGAAATAGTTTCTCTCATAGCAGCTGTAACCGCCTTCACCGAATATAATCACCTTGATAAACACCGATTTGATGATGTGTTAACTAACCCTGCTGTCCTGACCTGGTCCGAGTGAGGACTCAAGTGCTGAACCTTATTGCATGAACATCTGTTGCGTGAACTTCAGTTGATTGTGTCTATTTTGTACAGATAGAATCACCGAGAGAAGTGTTTTTATCATCTAGATAGATGTTGTTATGTTGAAAATAGTGTTCCAAGTCCTCAAAATTAAGTCAGACCATATGTAACCATTAAATGTCTTCGTCTATTACCAATACAATGCAAGTTATGTAACAGGTTATCCTGCCATTGTAAGTTAAAGTCGCAATAGTATTTAGTGTACCCTTTCTTTATTGCGTATGTTCCCAAGACATGCAATTCCAAATTGTTCTGATGAACTTCAATGATGTCTTGCTGATGATTCTTCGTGCTGCTTTTTGATGTGATTGTGCTACTGTCCTAACTTCACACACGACGAAGATCATGTGTGCTGCCCTTGTACAATTACAACTGATTTCTAGTAATATATTTGAGCTTTATTTCAATTACGTGTAGTTCCTTTCTTTCATGTTCAATTTCTCAAAGAGGTTAAGGGCAACTGAAGCACTGCATCTGTAAGGAGGGACGGATCTAAGAGCATTTGATAAGACAGACAGTCCATGTAGTTCACGATCAAAATCAAGTTATTGTATCGTCAGTGGCTAAAAGCTGCTTTACATTGCTACCTCCCTTATCTTGCAATAAGGAATGCTTTTAACCGACATTAACTTCTGATGCGCGAAGACTATCTTTACAGCTTTTCGTTGTGTTTCGGTCTTGTATATATTTTTGAGTAGAGGCTCGTTCAGTGTCTATTCAGATTTGATCTATCCATAAATGCGTTGTCATAGCGATCACTTGTTGGTATAAACAAACAACAAACACACGTGGTTTATAAGTAAAACGATAGAATTTTAATATAGACTTTGTATCTAATATGAATGTTAGGCTTTGCGGAATTGTTAACACAAGAAGATTTGAGAGCGGGATCTGCGGAGTCACGTGGAACAAGGACACGTGCCAGGCAGACATCGAGTAGGGCGGACCGTGTACTGACACGAACAGTGTGGTTGGGTAAAGCTTTGGCCGAAATGTGGAATCCATGAGGAAAATTGACGAGATTAGACTTTCAACGAGAAGAGACATACTTCAGTTGGCAAAAGTGTGAAATACGGTGGATAATTCTACACAGCTACTGGTATGAACTATGCCCTTTGACGTAGCTCACACGTCATCCACATTTACACCTTCTTATCGGATGGGTAGAAAAATATATCTAAAAAATGTACATTTATAACATATAGGATTTGACAAAAAGTTATCCCCGGGAACAAGGAGAAGCACCAAATGCCGGAGTAACATGGGATTCATAATGCTGGATGTGTATGCCTGTTAACAACAATGATTCATGAATGATGACAAATCTATGAAAATAGAAAATATCAAGCAGGAAATCTAGTCAATGCAATATATTAACTATTCTTATACGAATGATAACATGATAATATAAAAAAATGAGTTGGTGTAGAATTGAAAAAATTAAAAAGTTTACACGACATTATAAGTTATAGGTTTTGTATTTTTTACAGCTGTACAAATACTCTGTTAAATTTTCCCATCACACCGGTAAATACATCTGTGATAAACGTGACGTCACAGATAAGGCGGAAACAGTAAGTAGTGCACTTAGTTAAGCTAACGGACAACAGGGTTTTAAAACATTTGGTGATGCATGTATAAAATTGAAAAAAGATTTTTTGTAAACTTTGTTATAAATATAATTCATGCGAAACAACTTTCAAGTACATGCAAAATATTACAATACCACAGTACCCCAAAACTCACTTATCAAAAACATTCCTAGAAATAAGGAGAATGGTAATAGCTGAAATATCATGTTATTTGTGCTGAGCAATGGGCTAATTCGGGTACGTAGACTCTATATCTCATCAACAACAGGCAGCGTCATAGGAAATCAGTCAACCGTAGCAAACATCAGCCCTTCCATGACGTTGGTTAACTTATGAGTATATCACTGATGCAATGTCACCGATATAGTTCTGTCATTGATGATAATCTGTCACTGATATGAGTCTATCCAAAGGCATCTGCGTCTGGTGCGTCAATTTGTGAAAATACGAAGGAGTCTTCCCTACCTACTATTACTGGCAAGGTTATAATTAACATACCAGAAACCGGAACCACGGGTTGGGGTTAAAATTAACTTCGATTCAGTATTTTGATATTAGTTCAATCCGAATTTTTTTAATATTGTTTATACGCATGGTTAAGTTACGTGCCTCGATTTTTTCGAGAGTCGATGATTATTTTATAATTTATTAAACGAAACCAAATATGATGCTCCTATCTTCAGACAACTCAAGTCTGGAACGAAAGTTAACGATCTCGATGAGCAATTTTACAACGAACAATCTGATTGGTCGACAGTAGTAGGACAGGGAAGAGTATTTAATAGTTTCTACATATTTGCTTACCAGGCGCAGATGCATGTGGCTTTTAGTCTGTCACTAATGCATCCTTTATACTCCATGAGTTACGATCACCATCGCTCTTTGCACCACTATAGAATATGTCATGGCAAAATAATTGAAAGCTCAATGTGCGCCAACTTGTGGATGAGACAAGAAGACTAATTTGATTCTTTGATGTACATCAAAACTATCTCGCGGTCGATAACGGTAAAGCTGACTGGTTTTGAAGTCGGGCGTTGCTCCTTTGTAATCTTCAAAGGGCAGGTATCATTCTATAGCGATTGGTCATGGCTTATTTTACCCGAGACCATACGAATAGCTAGCAACGTGCCTTCAATGTTGCTATGACATATTCCAGGGGTGCAGATAGATAAAGTGAGCGTAACCCCTGGATTTCGAGGATGTCACTAACGGTATTCAACATGTAAGTCTGCCGTGGTCGATGGTGTTAGAAACAACTGAATTTGATTAAAGACGGTACAGTAATACTCGATTCAACTTTTTATGTATCAAAATTAAGGAAAATCCAAACACTGAGATAAATTAATTATAATGACAAAGATTGTATGATAATCTCAAGGGTTACATGTAATACAAGCGGAAAATGATGACGTTATCTCAATATCCTGTATTGAAACATTTAATTGGTTTTAATGTTGAATAATTTTGACCAACAGTTAAACAGGCAGAGACCACGTTTTTCTGTAGCTATATCACGTGGCACGCGAATAACCACTGACAGGTTTGTGCTCGTGTAAACTGATCGCTTCACATAATACGTAACTATTTTCAGACTATTTGCCTGGAAATTAATAATTAGGGCATTTGATATCGCTATGAATTTTACATAAGGATAGAACTGAACATAGCATCAAATTGTTGAAATTATCATGTCCCCTGTAACTAAAAAACCACAGTTGTGGTTAGTGGGATGTTATTGTGGCTATATTGTGGACTATAAACGTATTGAGGTAAACCAGTCAAGCAAGTTCAAGAGTCACGCGGGCTTTTATTTTAAAAAAAAATTGGAAGTAATAGTAACTTATTCCATTCAAAACACACATTGAATATGAACGATTTCGATACATCGCCCGAGAGACGTCTATTTTATATATCGGAGGACATTAATACCGTATTCAGCAGTGGGCGGGGGTAGCTCTCCAGATTATGTGAAACGAGGTGACTTTCCAGTAACTGAATATATGATTGGGGGCACCTCCCCACAATATGTCAGGGTAAGGGGAGTTAACTCTCGTTATCCTATCAGCGTGATAGGAGGTAGCACTCCACATTCTGCTATGGTGAGGGGAGATAACTCTCCACGTACTGTCAGTTTGAGAAGTGTTACTGTTACTCCACATAGTTGTTATTTTTAGGGCAGGTAAATCCACGTGCTGTCAGTGTATGGGGAGGAACTCTGCTCATATTTCAAATACCCAGTTAATACACGTCAAGGTAAATCAAGAGATAGGGAAACGTAAAATTGGCACGAAAAAAACCAAGATATACATATCATATTTGACTAGAACATTTTCGATTGTTCATTGGTTATGAAACCAATTGGTTATACATCTTGTATATAATGAAGTCACTTCAACATCAACATAAAGAGATATACTGGTTTGTAAATAAAGATTTGATTTAACAAATGGTATAACGATGAATCATAATTTAACATTTTACATCAAAAGATTGTTTGGGGGGCCACAAATATCTACCCAAATATTTTACTGTACAACGTTAGGTGGCGCAACAGTCAATGGCATGAACAACAATAATACCAAACTTCCGTGTACCGCCAGTCAGTCATAAAGAACAGTTACACTTAACGCCAAATAGTTTCTATGGCAACCGTATGCGTAACGATACTAAACATCAGCAGATGTACACGCCTCCTCCTCCGGTAGGTGTATAACTGGAATGTCATGAACTGAAACTGACAATGATTGTCTGCCAGCGGTATCTCTTGAAGCCTGTTCAAGTGACCAGCCCTCTTTCTCTTCCGCTTCTCGAACTTTATCATAATCCTCTTCCTCTATACTGTCCTGGGGCGATAAACGGCGCGCCGAACTTGCGCTGCTGTCACTTCCAAGGCTAGCGCTTCTAAGTTCTGGTGTAAGCCGATTACGCCGTCGCTCTTCAAAGTATATTGGATCCGTATGTTTTCTCTGTAATCTATGGCGCGTAAACCGCGGTGAGCGGTGACGACCCGACCCACATGATTCTAAGGAAGGGTCGTAACGAACGAACTCCTGAAACACTTTGTAAGTTTTCTGATCGACACTGAAATCTCGCATCATTATTCTCTCCTTCGATTCGCGATGGGATTTAAAGAAACGGGAGAACAAAGACGACTTGCTTGGTGTATCCGTTTCCTCAAAACTGTCACCAGAAGGCTGGTCTGATCTCGAGTCTGTCTCTGGCTCATTAATGCTCTCATAAATTTGTACAATCTGTCTTTCCCGGCTGTACTCTCTTCGCTTTTTTGACGCTGTCTTTCCGTTTCTCCTTTCAAAGTATTTAGACCGCCGGCCGTACCCCTCTTTGGAGGTTCCCGCCTCCGGAAGTGAATAGGAATGCGTGTAGATGCGCGCGGGATGCTCGGGGCTGTTGCCCTCTTCGAGCACTTCAATCTCACTCGTACTGTGAGTCCGTTTGATATATGGAGACTGTGTCTCCATCGACTTGTACCCACTGTCCGCCTTCATCTGTATCAGTTTGTGGTTTTGGCTCTCTGTTGTGCTGTCCGTATTATCTGTCGTCGACTCGAACGACGTGGTCGTCACCTCGGGACGACTTGTGTCCGACACCTCGCCATCTGTGTCGACCGTCTCTATACTATCAAAACTATTGTCAGCACTCGCATTTGGAGGTTTTCGTTGCAGTCTTTTTGCAAGAATGTTTTTATAGTTTTGCCTCCTGTTTTCATAATGAGAGGGGTGTAGTTGGTGACAGCCTGAGTTTGGGTTGCAGTCGCCACTGTGGGGACTACATCGTTTCTCAACACATTCAGCGTATGGCACCGACTCGGTATTCGATTCAAAAGATGTGGTGTATGAATTAGGCACTTCTCCGTCTGGAGACTGGTCGGGTGACGTCATGTCCTCCATACGAATTGTATCACTACACTCTTCCTCCTCCTCGAATGTCGTTCTTAGGTTCCACAGCTCGCGGTACTTCTGCGTCCCATTTAATGTGTCCGTATCATCACTATCCACTCGTATCGAGTCAAGCTCGCCGTACATGTCCATTTGGTCCAACTGGTCCTCGTTCAAGATCTCAATACTCCCTGTGTCGTTGTACCGGACTTTGCACGTGTCCGGGGAATTCAGTTCCGATATCACGTCGAAGTCTGTGTTATAGAATGGCCCTTTGAATTCTGTTATTTTTAACACATCATAATCAACAATATCCTCAAAACTTTTCACTTTTCGTTCATTCATTTTCTCAAATATTCGATTTGTGTCAAGGCTATGTGAATGAGAGCGCACTCTCTTTTCGCGCTCGGCTTTAGGAGCAGACGACCCACCAAGTCCCAGTGAATGGCGCCTGCTCTCACCTTTACTGAGACACACAGCGCCACTAACATTATTTATACTCCCACCGCTTCCAGATCGACCGCCACCTCCGCCACTGCCGCTACTTCCAAGACGACCCCCGCTACCACTACTGCCGAGACGACCCCCGCTACCACTACTTCCGAGACCACCCCCGCTACCACTACTTCCGAGACGACCCTCACTGCCACCATTTAACACACGGCCCCCGCTGCCTTCACTTCCAACACTCCGGCCACTGCGGCCGCTGCCAACACTACCGTTTCGTCCACGTGATTGATAGTGTATTTCGACTGCCACTTCCCGATGTAGTGGCGCGGAGTCTGTGGGAGAGGGAGAATCACCAAGGGACATAACTGCGGAAGTGGATATGAATGGCTCTGGTTTGGGACTGCCAATGTATTCGTCCTCCATGTAGAAATCTGACTGACGCCTGTCTGGTGTTGTGGGACTGCTCATTTCCTGTCCCTGAAACGGCGGACCAAGGGAACACTGCTTTCGAATATTCTTGTCGATCCGGGACTTCTTCAAGTGATGAAAGTCACCCTCTGTGTACCTGCAGTGAATGGTGGATGGGGTCGATTAGTAACCTGTGAGTAATTCATTCTTCAGACAACACAAGAACAAATCGCAAGTACATTGTATATGGACTTGGTCCTTGAAAATAAACATTAATTTCATCGGAAATTGCATTTTAAAAAACAAATTAATTCTACATTAAAGTCATCGGTTTTAATTGAATTTTAAATCGGACATTTGCATGCAAATTCTATTTGGCGTTCAGAAATAATATTTCTTTTGACGATAGGTTTCTTTACATTACATTACAATATATATTTACGAAACATTTCTATACACAAGTCGTGATGTACAGAAAGGCAACGTCACTTCCGGTTCGAGGCAGGGAGGTACATTCAAACTGCTGGTAGACAACATGCATGGTAATATCGATTTATCTTGTGTAACATGACCGGAAGTGACAAACACAACCAGTCAAAGATACATTTACATCCTAAGATTTATCAGGAATCATGTTTTTCTTATCTTTTTCAGTCAAATATTAATTATTTAATACCACCATCTTTTAAAAAATTTACGAAAGAAAATTGGAATGCATTTTTTTCAATCAAATTAAGATAAAAATATATCCTCTTACGTTCAAGTAATACTTTTTAGGCTGTTATACAATATCAAGTTCGGGACAGCAAGCACTGGTACCTAGCTGATATATTGGGGATAATCTCGTGTATACTAGTATAGGATTATCAATCATATAGGTAGAACCGAGTAAGGGGATAATCTTGTCAATCACCATAGTAACAAAAATATCATAAATAGTATGCAATACTAAAAGCACTAGGGACAACATGTGTTACCATTGTAACATCAAAAATGGCGGTAGAACACAAATGGGGAGTGATCATCCGAGTTACCAAGGTAACATCAATCAGGGAGTCAGAACGAAGAGGGGGTTATCTGTAGTGTTATTACAGTTATGCAAAACATGGAGGCTAAATCAAGAGAAGGGGTGACACGAAGTTTTACCACAGTAACATCAAACAGAGAGAGAGAGAGAGAGAACGTTCTGTCACGTTACCAGGAAAACACCAAACATGGAGGTAGAACCGAGAAGGGGNACACCAAACACATTGAGGTAGATCCAAAGGGGTGGTTACCATAGGAATACCAAACATATGGAGATACAATTTAGAACCAAGAAAGAGTGGTATGTCGTGTTGTTACCATAGTAACGACAAAAAGGAAATAGACTGAAGAAGGACAGGGAGGTCTGCTGTATACACATCAAACATGGAGGTAGAACTAAACAGTTTGTCATTTAGAACACATAACTGATTACTACTGAAGAATTTCATGTTTAAAGGACAACGCAAAAAGGTCAAAGGTTAGAAATGACACAATTCCTCGTGCATTGTTTAGCAGTTTGAGCGGACCTTCTTCCTCGATGGAGGTATAGTGACGTCTTCGACAGCAGTTGAAGCTGAAATGATACTCGCCTCCCCGATTTCTCCGCGGGGGTGTCCTCAGTCTGGTGAGGTGGCAGGTGACCCCCCTCTTCTTCTACACCCTCATGGTAGCTCACTGTGGACGGAAAAGATATACAATTATATTTCTAATCTACTAAAAGTAGCGTGAAACATCATGTTAGCTTGCTATAAACCGGGGAACAAACAACGGCAACTTTAACTTACATCAAACATCCAAAAGGAATAGAGATTTGCGTGTGATTTGTTTGGTGACCTTTGCTCTTGATTTGTCCAAGATGGTTTTTCCTTATTTTCTTGATGACATTGACAAAAGATTTGTTCGGGTCGATTAGACCATGATTTCCTGTTTACACTTCTACGTGATTCGTCCAGGGTTGTTACACTTTACGCCTTGCCCAGTGACGTTATAATGTGATTTGAAAAGACACAAGTGTATGAACACGAAATATTTCCAGAAATATTCACGTGTACAAGGACTTATAGGGAGATTTTTCAAACGCCTGTTACCTTTGTCAAAGTCGGACTTGAGCTTGGTTGTTTCATCAATGTCTTCAACATCAGCTGGGAACCTCTCGACGCTTCTGAAATACACAAGTAAATTGGGGCACTCAAATTCACAAAATAGACATAAGAATACAATTATCATTATTTACTTAGTATAATCTGTATATGTATTTTCTGCTTCAAATGTCACCGTTTATAAATTCCCAGGATCCGTAAACGGCAAACATACTTCTGTAATATAAAATTTAATCAATCATTTGATCAACATCTTCAGTCGTTTTGACTTGTTTAAACTCTGGGCTACATTGCGCGTGGGACGTGACCATGTTAAGAATGGCGACTTTTGACTTTGTGTTGCTCTGATACGGACATTCATCCGCGAATGTAGTGCTGTAATTGATACGCGAATGTAGTGCTATAACGAAAGTTTAAATTTAACAAGTGGTTATCTTTACGAACAAAATGAACTTGGTATCAAAATATTGTGAATAGGATAAAACACACTTTGGAAACATAGATGTATACATAGCAGTGTAATTTTTATCATCCTCGATATCCAGGGGTTACGCTCACTTTCGCTCTCTGCACCCCTGGAATATGTCAAAGCTGAAGGCACGCGGCTATTTTTTTTATTGATCTCGGGTAACCTGGCCAATCGCTAGGCTGATTTCCGTCTTTTGAAGATTACATAGAAGCGATACCCGACTTCAAAGTCAGTTAGTTTTACCGTTACGCGATCAACAGATTATTTTATGTACATTAAAGGACCAACCTAGTCTCCTCGACTCATCCACAAGGTAGCACACACTGACATTTTACTATGACATATTCCACGGTAGGTGAAGAGAACGCGAGTGAGCGTAGCCCCTGGTGTGTCCAGGACGAATGATTTATTTACGATGATGGAGCTTCCATGCTCCTCTACCTAATGTCGTGGACTTTAGACTACAAGTTATTTATCTAGCCCTCTTACCTGGTATCGTAGACTTTACGAGGGCTGATGGGGATGCCTTCCATGGATCCGGTACTTGGCTCAGAGAACACATCCGAGTTGATGGTTTCATAACGCTGTAGGGGTTTGGAGCGCCTCTCTCTGTCTGAAGCCTGTCTGCTGTCACTTGTGCTTTGTCTGTATCACGTGAGCAAAAGTAACACTCTTGAACGAATATTCCTACATTATTGAAGAGCTACATTTGTATAATGAACAAGTAGTCATGTAGAAAATAAATACGCGTACAAATGAAATAAATGCGACAAATTAACAAAAGTATAACCAATTCATCGACAAATGAACAAAATGAAGATTTGTTTCTCTCTCAAAAACAGTATAGCTTGAAGTATATAGCATGTTCAGGAATGTAGCGATAAAACCATTATTGAAATGTTAAGTCTGACACTTTGATAATAAACGAAGAACAGTCTAATCTGAACGGTATTAGGTCTTTTACTCTCTTTTCATAGTTTTTAGGAAACGAATGAGAGAATAATTAACAAAAACAACAACAACAACAACAAACACAGAGGCTAAGGTTTGGAATGATTAGCTTCACTGCAATTTCATTACCAGTAATACATAAAATTGTATTAATTAATGTCGCTGTAATGTTTTTTACAGCTTTGCCAAAGAAAAATAATACAGTTAGGCCAAATACAAAAAAAAAATGTGTTTCCGCTAACTCTACCTTTCCTAGATTTGTGTGCTATCCTAAAGATTTTATTGGCATTTAATGATTTGCACGGTTAAAGTCAGATCTCCTGCTCTTTATCAGCATAGTAAACATAATTTCCAAAATAAAAATAAAACATTGCTTTCCTATCCTTTTTTCTGAGAATGTTCACTGTTTACGTGTACTCGCTGCTACAGCTTTAGCTCTTAGACGCTGTGTTGACTCTCGAGAGCAACACAAAGAACAGACACGTACCTTCCGAGTCCCTTGTCCTTTTTCAGACAAAATTTGCAGAAGAGGATAACGGCGATGACAATGACGAGTCCTCCAACAAACCCGGCCACGAGGATACCCACGGTAACGTATGGGGACACGGCCTGACCTGGTATGTCGCCCTGGCAACGGTAAGGTCACAATGATCATGTATAGTTTTATCACAAATAATCTCGCATATTTCACTGAAACGTTGACTGGGGAATAAAGCAAAGGACTGCTGCAGTGGTTATACCCAATGCATGCAATAGTTCCACGTTTGCAACATTTCGCCGCTAGAGGCGCCTTCATCAGATAAATACGTCAATAAAAACATGGTTTGGTGATTTTGTTAGTTTAAACATGAACGTACACCTGTATTTCACTGCAACCTTTTTTTCATTTACAAAGATTGAACATGTTGGCAGTTGTAGATAATGTTATATTTTATAGCCATTCCCTCTTTTGCTGTTGAGAGCAGTATATGTATAGGATCTCGAAGTGTTGTCTAGGATGAAATATATGGTGACCTTATCTTCGACCAGTGCACCATTCAACAGCGCTATAAGAAAGATGACCGCTCCAGGGAAAACATGTGATTTTTCACATATACATTTGTACCGAGGATAACTGAAACTTATCGTGAAAAGTTCGGAATTTATCAAAGTGTTAGGTATGTAGCAAATGCCGATGAATCCGGTAATGGTCTGGCAAAAAGATATTCTACTGAGAGTTATCTCCCCTGAAATATTGAACAGCGTAACCGTGGCTATGTGTTATTGCTGCTCTTCCCCAAATACATCTTTAATAACACACTATTTCCGTCTCCCTAGATAACTGCCACTCGGCTTTATTCTACACATGGCCCGGAAACACATTCATATCCTGCTGCTCGTATATCTACCTCTCTAGATCTTTAGATTGCTGGTACAATATAACCTGCCTAACAAAACTATGTTAAAAGAAATCCATGTCATAATGAGCTTAGAAAGTTGAACAAATCAATATTTGATAAAAATGTATACTTCTACTTAATACTACAGCAAGAGAGGGATCACATGGACCATGACAGAGGTGCTAGAGGGTCTAGATTTCTCTGACGACATAGTGCCGCTGTCACACACCGTCATCATGATATCCAAGGCAAGACCAGTGACATGGCCACAACAGGAAAACAGGTTGGACTGAACATCAATGCCAACAAAACCAAGATTCTAAAGGCCAACGCAAAGTCAAATGAGCCCTTCCTACTTGATACCACCAGCATAGAGGAAGTTAGTGACTTTGTCTACCTTGGAAGCAAGATAACATCAGATGGAAATTCCGCATAGCAAAGGCCAGAGGAGCGATTGCATCATTGAGCAACATCTGGAGATCGAACAAGATCAGCACCACCACCAAGCTGGAGATATTTAAAAGCAACGTCCTCGGGGTCCTTCTTTATGGTGCAGAGTCATGGAAGATAACCAACAGCATCATCAACAAGCTGGATGTCTTCCAGACATGATGTCGACGAAGAATCTTGCGAATCTTCTGGCCACAGACCATCTCCAATGCAGAACTGTACAGGAGGACAAACACCGTACCGCTGTCACAGGAAATAAAGCGAAGAAGATGGCGGTGGATTGTGCACGTCTGCAGAAGCACCCGGATTCCATCACAAGGGTAGCGTCGAACATATACCGGGAAACTGCATATACGACACGATCGCAATAAAGCGGAACTGTCTGGACAACTCGGTCAAGGAAAGTGACCAGACATACAGGAAGCTCAGCTGTTAGAACATCTGTCTATGAGTTCAAAGGTTTCGGTTCGAGTCCCAGTATAACAATGATATCAGAATTTTATCAGAAACTATCTGTTTCCTGAATATGCATAATTATTTGTTATTCAGATAATAAATATCTATTGGTCAGTTACAGAGACCTACAAATTCGTTATACAGTATGTATGTCTAGACTTGTTTGATTTGAACCAGTAGAGAGTAATATCGGACGTTTTAAAGATCAATATCAACAAACGATACAAGAATTCCTATTTTGGTCGGGGTACAAGAAATGTTTGGTATATTCTGAAAAACGGATATTTTGTTCCATCTAAAAAGCTTTTCTTTTTCTAAGTAACAATGTGTTTCTCTTTCTTTGTGCCACTTTCTATATATATCAGGTATAGCGAACACCTTCGGTATTTCCCGTGTTAATTAAGGCGACCTCTTCGGGAAGTTTCGTGGTTTACAATCGAAAGAGAGGGTTCTCAAATGAGGATTTCATGACATGATTCCAGCGTTCGCACTTTTTTGTCGTGTACTCTAAGAAGACACACACGTGAAGAAGTTTATCTCGATTTTATCTGATTCCATTTAAAAACTAGTCGATTTTATGTCGATATATTACGAAACATATCACGTGAAGGTGAAGGTTTTACCGAGTGTTGTTCTAAACGTTTTATATTACTCTCTTTACATCAGAATGGGTCAAAAACAAAACTACTGTAACAAATTATCAGGTCCCTGTGGTTTGGTGGAACAATTATCGCGTCCCTGTGTTCTGGTGCTGTACTTACGTTAAACGGTGGCATGAAAGTCGAACCCGGCATCGCGGCGCGGACATCTGGCTGATCTAGACTGTTAACATGGTATTCTGTAAAATAGGACGGAAATACAGTTATATGGTGATATGTAAATATGTGTAAATAAAATAACACCACAGTTACTTAGTTTTAATGAATATAGTAACACCGTTTTCTGTAAGGATCCCTAACCGTCTAACTGCAGGCAAAACACCAGAGAATTCCAATGTACTACAGGAAGCGTCCATTAATTTTGTTTTGGATAAAACTTAGCGTAATAAGTCCAGGACACTTCCGTTTACCAGGGAACTCAGTTCGTTCGGGTGACAGAATTACAGGAGGTCCTGGTTCGAATCCTGATCTGTTCACACTCAAAACACTTCTGTGCATTCGATTCTGTTTATTTCATTTTTAATGCATTTTTTTTATTTATAAATGTCCAGCAAAGTAATAAGGTTTTCTCTTTAGAAATGGTTTAAAAGCAATGTTATGATTATGCCGTACAAAACAGTTGCCAATTTAAGTTTTAGACTGTGGTTAGGTCATCTTTGAATAGAGAAGTATTATAGTTACATGGTTATATGTTATCTACATAGAGTAAAACCCCGTTTCTTTCTGTTCTTTTTACTTTATAACACAGTCAATTTTATTTTAATCTACAAACCTTAACGAATGCGCTAGTTTTGTCTTGTTAGCATTGGAAAGACTAAAGAATCTATGGAGGGGTAGGAGAAGATATCGAGTTGTCTAGCGTTTACGATGACATTCTACTTTTAACTTTATTATCACAAGGGGTTTTAAAATAAACCACAGAATTTCATATTTTTTTCTGGAGCTGCGCCCGATATTGAAATACTTATACAAACTTTACAAAGCATCATAATATTTTGGGCATATGCATTTTGTTTAAAAATCTACATGTTGTGAAAATCGAAAAATATTGCTTCGTTGAGCAATGCTTTCTTAGATCTTTTTTTATTTTATTCATTCTACAATATTCATAAAACAAGTAATTTCAACTTATATTAATCACTCTTGATGACCCAGATGTTAGTTCGGGGAAGTATAAATGTGGGAGGAAACCCGAGTACCCGGAGAAAACCAGCGTGGCCTGGCAGGTGACCCCATACCTTTTCACGTCCGAACGAGAACTAAGATCACTTTCTTAGTCATACTAGAATTCCAGTGATGAAGACCACAATCTCTACCCCTCCTACAGTTTAAGATTGTGTGCCACCCTGCAACTTCCTTCTCTTACACTCCATTCGAAAAAGTATGGCTCTGCGCATGTACAAGATATGTCTTCCTAAGATTAACACTGCGTATACATGTACGTACTATATAATAATGAAACATTTATGTCAATGTGCATGAAGCACTGTCACATGTCAACTGTCAACTTTGTGTTGTCACCATGGTGTCGCCAAGGGATACCAGAATAATGGAGGTAAAACAAGCATCCGAACAACATCGATTTTCACACAGGTGAATGCGCGAAAGGTAAACAAGAGTATTGAGGATCCATATACAATGATAGCAACACTGCATGTGACATATCGAAACACGTACGATTTTGAACGGGCTATTGTGTAGTTTAATCTCACCCGGCTCAACATCATTCGTTTTATTTCTCATCTCAAGTTGAAAGAATATCGACTTTTGCACGGTAGCTTTTAGATTTGCAAACATATTTTAAGAGCATGTTACACAAAATGTATATGCCTTCAGTGGAGAATGCACAAAGCACATTGCAGAAAAACGATACATGAGGAAATAAACGATAAATGAAATTGAACTACACCTGATATGGTAAGCTCATGTGAGCTTGTCAACACATGAACAGTGTACAGGCGTGCAGTTTATCGTGTGGTGAACTTTGATTTTCAACACGTGAACATTGTTCGTCAATTTATCTTCTGGTGAACTGTGATCCACATGACGTGAACAGTGTAAAGGCGCGCAATTTATCATGTAGTGAACTTTGTCAACACGTGAACATTGTGCGTCAATTTATCTTCTGGTGAACTGTGATCCACATGACGTGAACAGTGTAAAGGCGCGCAATTTATCGTGTTGTGAACTTTGTCAACACCCGAAGAGTGTACGTACAGCTAGTACGTGTGATGACTTATGCTTGTCTACACCTGAACAATGTACGCACATGTACAGTTACTGGCGTGGCGAGCTTTGCTTGTCAGCATTTGAACAGTGTATGTATAATTATAATAGGATGGTGAAGATGTTGTTGTTGTTGATGATGATGATGATGATGATGATGATGACGACTAAACGCGTGACCTTGACATACGGTGATTGTGACCTTGACATACGGTCATTTTTAAGAAGGACATTGCCCTACTGCTCTATATAAAACTCTGAGGTAATACGGTTTATTATCGATCGTTGCTTGTTTGACGCACCTTATGCAGACGTGCACGCGCCACACGAGTACTGTCCTCTCACGGGTCGACGAGCGTGGATACGTTCCCCGATACCAGAAAGTACTTGTACAGGCGATACATTCCCTGAAACACTCCCATTGGAATTCTTGTTTCAGTGTGCGTATATCATATACATAACGACATTATACACTGGGAACTTCGGAACAGATTTGTCTCATTGCAATTTGGTTAGTACACATCAGAGACCTGTATCGCTCTACTTATAATGATAAATGAAGTTTCTTTCCTTGAAGGCCATATTGTAGGCCATATTGTAAGCTATATTGTAGGCCATATTGGCCGTTTTGGATGGTTCTTATTGCGCCGTACAAGTACAACAAAAATTTGTAAGAGCAATACTTTTTCTACATATGCTTCATATTCGGATGAAATTTACCTCAGAGAACTTCAGAACGAGTCGAAGCCAATCCGACGACACTTTGAATGTCTTGCATTTCCAATCAATCCGTAAAAAAAGACATTCAAACTAGACTATGAGAGAAATATTTAAATTAACTTTATCTAGAACTCGCATGGTAGAACCTCAATATATTTAAACTTACAACAGCCAATCACGAACATATTTAAACTTACAAAAGCCAATCAAACGCCAGGGTGACCTGCAATTGTATCAGACGACAAAAATATACTTATGGGAGTATAATGTAAGAGTTATTTGGTCAAAATCAGCAAAATTCAAGAGAGTATGATGTAAATGAACTTTTTTTGGTCAAATCGGTTAAGAACAGTTTAAAAAGTCGAAATTATCTCAGCCAATCAGAGACGTCTATCTCGGACTTTACATCAGCCGAAATTAGACGAACAGTTGGGTAAGGACATAAAATGTTCCTGTGCACCAAGTTTGGTGAGAATTCATCCGGAGAAACCAGAAAATTAGTTGAAAATGTTTCAGCCAATATTTGACCCCCAGCTTTATTAAAAACAAATTCATAATGAATCGTGTTTTGACATATATAACCTTGCTTTTCCCAGATTTGTTTTGTTTGTTTGTGTTTTACGTCCTATTAACAGCCATGGTCATTGAAGGACGTGCCAGGTTTTGGTAGTGGAGGAAAGCTGGAGTTCCCGGAGAAAACCCACTGACCTACGGCCAGTACCTGAACACTGCCCCACGTAGGTCTCTAACCCGCGACCCAGTGGTGGAGGGCTAGTGGTAGCAGAATGTCAGACGCCTTAACCACTTGGCCACACTCCCACTCCACTATATAGGCCCTGTTTATCTACTCGCAGGGAGGCCACAGTTTATGTATCTTTATTTTTTGTCCATAGGTACTTCAAACCACATTAAGATTAAAATGCCTTTACTATTTCTCTAGGTCTTAAATAATGACATTCCATTTTTCTATTTGGCCCACCTCTCTGTCTCAAGGGAACGTACGCCAAATTGGACTCCAAAGGTCGAATGATGCCTAAATCGAATTAGGGTTCTTACACCCTTCCCTCCGCTTATACCTCTATTTCAGGCATTGATCCCCGTCCCTCTAAAGAAAGGCAAGCAAAAGTCATAAAATATTAAACATTGAATTCGTTTTGTTTGGCCTTGAATTTTGTAAAAAAAAAATAGGTTAAAATACTATTATACTTATTTAGAGAGTAGTCTTTTAAATGTTTAACCCGGATTCCCTAATGATACCTAACCCTCTTTCCAAAGGTAGTAGAGACATTTCATTTATAAAAAGAATGACTTATCTTGGCACAGTATTGCTTCGTGCTAAACAAGGATGTCTTTTAAATATATATACATGTATATCCCCATTATTCCTATACTGGTCCCCGTCCAAAAGCCCTAGCCAAGCAAACCCCTTCATTTGAACATCGAATGCCAATGAAATAGTCACGCTTCATACGTAACGATGTAAAAAATGCCTTCACTCATTCTTCAGAAGCAGTATTTTAAATATTTGAACATGTTTTCCCCTATTAGACTCGACCCACTTGAGTGGTAGGGAGGGGCGGGGGCGGTGGTCATTGGGGGTATACTTTGTTAAAATTGGGACAAGTTGATGCATGTATGACTCGAACAGAAAGAGCGCACAGGAAAGAAAATGGTACAGGTACCCGTCACGTTTCATGCCGAATTTCAAATCAAGTCTGTTTACCCGCTGTGCGTCAAAAAAGGGCACCACCTCCCTACTCCAAGGGAGCCCACACCTTTCATTTATATAACAATAGTTACTCCTTTGCCTATCAAAAATCAAAATGCCTTAGTCCTCCCATGTGTCTTCCGTCTGTTTCTATTGTAACATAATATATATTTAAGACAGATCATTATCTGCAGAACAACACACAAGTGCCCATGTGTCTTACCGACTTGTTTCTATGGCAACACAAAGTATACGTATGTCACAGTAAACAATCTCTGTTTCTATGGCGCCAAGGCGACACACGACCATCTTGGTATGCGGCAAGTCACACACTATTGATTTTTCATTCATGAAATAGTGAATTATAGGTGGACACGCAAGTAGAACTCTCGCCATAGACATCAACGTGCTCTAGTGTAGGTCCCGAAATGCTATTGGTTCAATAGCCTTCTTAACAAACAACCAATGCAAACGCACAAGCGAATGAGCCTTTTCTGTCATTTATACCAGCGACGCTCTCCAGCA